TAACTTTAGGTCTCTTTTTTCCCTCCCTTTATGCATCCCTTTCTTTAGCCTAGTCACTGTACAGACGCCTTGTGGGAAAAGGTTGCTGTTTTCAGTTGGGGAGGGGGATTCCTATGATTCATTCTCTTTCCCACCCACCTTGTGGGGTGCCTGTGACCTTAAATCAGCAATGTGCAGGCATCTGCCTGAGTGTTCAACATGCCCTCTACTCAGCACTCCCTACTCCACGCCGTGTGTGTGTGTGTGTGTGTGTGTATGTGTGTGTGTGATGGCAAGCATCTGCATACGCTGGCCTACCAGCTTGTGTGTCCTCGGGGTGTGTGTGTGTGTGTGTGTGCGCGCGCGCTCTTCTATGCGCGCGATCGCTCGCCTATGAATGGTGCACCGAGTACTCACATACTGGCACACCCGCCTGCAAACCTGGTGTGTTGCTGGCATAGCCGCTTGTGTGACTGTGAGTGTGTGTGCGTGCGCGTGTGTAAATGCACACCGTGCACACACACCGGCACGCCCGCCTGCAAGCCTGGCGTGTGTGTGGCGCGCCCGCGTGTGCAGCCCGCCCTCCTGCGCGCTCGCCCGCCCGCGGGCTCTAGGCAAGCACGCAGGGCCCGGGGCCGCCAGCCCGCGCCGCTCGGTCCTGAGCGCGCCCAGCTGTTTCTATAGGAACCACACGGCGCTGGGCCCCTCCGGCGTGGCTCCCCGCGCGAGCATGCCCAGTGCAAGCCGCTAGTTTGGCTTGGGTCTAGGTTTCCAGTAAGTGGCCTGCGGGACTCGGGAGAGATCCCAATGAGCTGAGCCGAGAGCCTTTTGTGTGCAGAGGGCGGAGGAGGCGGCGGCCGCCCGAGCGCAGACCCCGCCCGGAGCCCGGCAGGAACAATGCTAGCCTGCCTGAGCCGCGGGAACTTACTGGACGTCCTGCAGGAGGGCTTCAATGAGGTAACGGCCCTGCCCTCCCACGCCCACCCCGGCCCCCGCCTCCCGCCTGTGCTCCAGAGGGGTCCTCCACAGCCCCCCACCTCCCAGCGGTCCCCGAACTCATCGCCCGCAGAGCCCCAAGGGTGGCTAACGTCGTGGGTGCGGGCGGACCAGGGAATGCGGAGAGATCTGACCGGCTGCCAGCTCCGCTCCCCGAGGCGGGGCGGCGACCTTCCTGGTAGCTTACCTGAGCCCCGAGGACAGGACTACAGATTCAGCCGTCACTTCCTTCCACTCCCCTGGCATTCTCCCCAGGAACACCCTCGAGGAAGCCCCAGTAGATTCTATTTTAGGAGCTAACCTGCCAGCCCGAGGAGGGGCGGGATGGCGTGACACTGGTAGAAAGTTTGGAGAGGTCGGAAGACTGGGGGTGTTCCCCTCGGAGGGTCCTTTCCACCTGTAAATCTCCTGTATCCACAACCAAGGACATGGTTGGCTGAGAGGAGCCACCAAGTGAAAGGGGCCCTGGCTCTGGAACGCGTTCAGGGCAGCCAGCATTTGCTTGTTTCTGTGAGACCCGGATGGGTGCCTCGGTCTGACAAGTCGGATGGCCCTCCTTACATACTGTCTCTCATTTCTGTCATCTCTTCCCTTTGCTCGTTTTCTGACCCAGGCAATTGTACTTTGAGACCCTTCCCCCTTGCTGTTTGCTCCTTCCATCTTCCCCTGCTGTTGAGGCCAACCTGCACGCCTCAGCCATCATCGGGGAGACCTTCGGCTTCTGATTGTACCTTTCCCTCTCTCCTTTTACTCCTGCATCTCCCCTTCTTCCCTCTCTGACCCTCTCAAATCTAAGTTGTTAAACAACAACAAACAACAGTGTTAATCAAATAATACATGAATACCTTTTCTTTTGTTGGTGCAGGGACTGAACCCAGGGTGCCACACGTGCCAAGCATGAACTCTGCTTTTCCAAGCCCCATTCTCTTCTTAAAAAGATGGAAGCTCATTGTCTTCCCCCACTCCCCCATCCCAACCTTTTCCCCTGAGGTAACCATTCTTCTAAATTCATGTAAAAAGATTTTTTTTTTTTTTTTTCTGCAGCTGCGTTACAGGCCTTTCCCTTGATTCCTGTTTCTAATTAAGCAGCCATGCAGCCTGACCTGCAGAGCCTTCCATAGTCCCTCGCCCTGTGTCCCCCAGTTGTTACTGACACGAAAGACTGCAGAAATGCTGTCCCAGGCTAGCCAACCGAATTGGAATTTTCCTTCGGCAGAGGGCTGCCACTGGAGGGCAAGGCTTGCGTCCTGCCCGCACTGCAGGGCTTCTCATCTTTGCCTGGGTCCTGTCAGAACAAATGTAAGGGTATTGTTAACAAAGAGCTGTAGACTGAAGGCTGAAGCACACATGAGCCAGGAAGCCCACCTCTTTGAGTGCTTCCTGTATTCCTGGTTCCTCTTTTCTCACTTCCTGGCTTTAAGCCATCCTTAGTCTTCAGGTGCACAAGTCTGACCCATCCACGGATTACTGCAGAAGCTCCATGGGTCCTCTTATGGCCTCTCCTCGCTCTTATTTTAACCCAGTCCCCAGAAATGAGGACTCGGTGTCTGATTAGGGGGAAGACACCAGCACACAGCCAGTCTTTGCTTTCTGCTCATTTTGACTTCTAAACCTTTCAACCCAAGAGCCTTGAAGACAAGGAAATATAGTTGTTCTACTAATGCTTTGAGGCTTCCTTGAATACCTCTGACCTGTATTTCTTGCAAAGCAAGGGAAAGGTGGAGCGGGAGAGTTCTTTTTTGTGCGGTAATGGAATTTTCATAAAGACTGTAAATGTACAACTTTATAATTAATCTATATGGAGAATAACACAGTAATGCTCCATTTTTCTCTGACATGTGCTTTTCCTACCATCGCGTAAACTTTCCTCCACTTCCCCGTAGACAAATATATGGTAGTCTTTCTGTTAGTAAAACAGAGTTTAGATCTTAACTCTAAAAACCATTAAGTACTTTTGATTTCTCTGAAAAAAATAATATAGTTATCAGTTAAACTTGAATGGCTCCTTACAATTCAAGTAATTATTTCTCATACAATGTCATATTTAATGCCACTGAATAATTGTATGATTGGTTATGTCAGAGTTGGTGAAGTCTTGTTGGGCCTATTGTGCCCTCTGGGGTTGCTTAATAGGCCCAGGAATAATCTCTTTTGTTAGAGTCATGTGATAAGGATGTAAATAGGGACATACAAACTAGGG